CCCCCCATACTCTCGTAGCCAGAGCACTTGCTTCTGAACAGATTCAGTGGGAGAGGATTTGGTTTAAGTCCTTATTGTCTCCCTCGGAGGCAAAGGTCCTGCACTACACAGGCTTCTGTGAAGGAGGGGAAGGCACTTCGGTCTGTGGAGGCTGTACAAACAGTAGAGCATCTCTCTGGGCTGAGGAGAAGAGAGCAGGGGAGGTCTGCAACCTGCTGCTTCATTTGCTCCCCATGCTTGAAAAATCCTGTGATTTAGCCATGGCTCCAGAATCATTTCTGGATTTCAGTTTTTCACTGTTAAATCCTTATTCCTTCTCCTATGGACACTTAAGTCTCCTGGACTCGCTTCTGGGTTATCAGCTCCATTTCTTGAAGTGGCTGAAGCAGAGGTCACAAACTGGAGTATTTGCAAAGCAGGATTAGTGTTTGCAAGTCTGAGCTCCAGCTTGATCATATGAGGATATTTCTTTCATTTAAGCTTACAGTAAGATTATTAAAATGCTACCAGATTTGGAATATGACTAGCTCATCTTCCTCAAGCCTCTTAATACTTGAACCATACAGAGCAGAAAACCTGAACTGATTTGTAAAGCAAAAACTGAGTTCAGTGAAAAGCTGGCTGTTCCCCTCCTCTACCATCATCAACAGTGTTAGTGAATATTGCTTGATGATGCTCTTTTCCCCTTCTCAGCCTTTAATTTCCTGCATGATCATATCTGACCAGCAAATTTAGAGGACTGTGACTGTGAGATATGTTCTTTAACTGCAGTGGTTCTGGTGTGGTTGTTTTACAGTAAAATGTGCCTTTTGTTTTACGCTGTGCATGAAATAGGCCACTGGCTGTTCTGTTTGGATTTGTAAGCATTTTAAATGACATTAATAGCAAACAGCATTACCACATGTAATTTAGCTGTTTAGTAGTTACCAAGAGGAGATCATATTTATGCCAGCTTTTTCATGGCAGGTCAATTATTTTGTTAGCACAGGCAACAGTGTGTTTGTATTGTGCAACTCTTCCTAGGAACTGAACTGCGCTGGAGTACAGGAAATCATGGGAAGCAGGATGGACTCGAATTAAAAGGAAGGGATTTGTTTTTCTTGCGTTTGGATGCCAGTGCCTGTTGAACTACGGTGACATACTGTAAAATCTGTGCTTCTCATTATGTAACTAAGCAAAAGGAAGAGCTGCAAGAGATTAAAGTAAAAGTGAGTAGACTATAGTTGTTCTTATTTTGAGTTTAGTTTCTTTTTCCTTAATCTGTTTTGACGGGGTGACACATGGTCTTCACAGGTTAAACCTCTAGATTCTGGAACAATTTTGCAAGGTGCTGTTTTACAAAACTTCCTGAGCTGCATTTGGCCAAAGCTGTCTTCATCTAAACCTATATATGACCGTCTAACCCAATGCACAGTATTAAAATTCAGCCACTTCTGTATGTTTTAGAACTCGTGAGGCCAAGCTACTTTCATAATCTGCCTGCTACATAAAGACTTTATGACTCAGACTGGAGGAGTTTCATAAATACTTTGCTCATGGTTATTAAAAAAGATACTGTCTTATGAAGGTGTTTAATACGTGTCTCTTCCCTTCCTTTTTTTCCTCTACAAACAGCACATTATCTTAATTGTGCCCTTTAAGTAGATTAAGCTTGAATAAAGGAGAATTCAAGTCAAGAGTAAGGGCTCCAGCCACACCATCCAAGACACAGAAGGTAAAGGCAGGGACTGGGTGAAGGAAGAACCATCCACTGCACAAGAAGAGCAGGTTTAAGAACATCTGAGGAACCTGAAAGTGCACAAAGTCCATGGGACCTGGTGAGATGCATCCACAGGTCCTGAGGGAACTGGCGGCTGAAGTGGCTAAGCCACTATCCATCATATCTGAGAAGTCATGGCAGTCCAGTGAAGTTCCCACTGATTGGAAAAGGGAAACATAACCCCCATTCTTAAAAAGGGAAACAAAGGCGACCTGGGGAACTACAGGCCGGTCAGTCTCACCTCTGTGCCTGACAAGATCATGAAAAAGATCCTCTGGGAAACTGTGCTAGGGCATGTGGAAAATAAGGAGGTGATTGGTGACAGCCAACATGGCTTCACTAAGGGCAAATTGTGCCTGACAAATTTGGTGGCCTTCTACAACGGAGTTGCAGTGCTAGTAGGTAAGGGAAGAGTGCCTGACATCATCTTTCTGGACTTGTGCAAAGCTTTTGACACTGTCCTGCAAAACATCCTTGTCTCTAAATTGCAGAGACATGTATTTGATGGATGGACCACTCATGGGTAAGGAATGGGCTGGGTGGTCGCACTCAGAGAGTTGCGGTCGGTGGCTCCATGTCCAAGTGCAGAGCAGTGACGAGTGCCGTTCCCCAGGGGCGGGGTTGGCACCGGCGCTGTTTAACATCTTGGTCGGTGCCGTGGACAGTGGGATCGAGGCACCCTCAGCAAGTTCACCAACGACACCGAGCTGTGTGGTGCGGGGACACGCTGGAGGGAAGGGATGTGCCATCCAGAGGGACTGGACAGGCTGCAGAGGTGGCCTGTGCAAACCTCCGGGAGTTCAACAAGGCCAAGGGCAAGGTCCTGCCCATGGGTCGGGGCAATCCCAAGCACAGACACAGGTTGGGCCAGGAGTGGATTGAGAGCAGCCCCAAGGAGAAGGACTTGGGGTGTCAGTGGATGGAAAACTGACTGTGAGCCAGCAATGTGTGCTCACAGCCCAGAAAGCCAACCGTGTCCTGGGCTGCACCCAGAGCAGGGTGGGCAGCAGGGTGAGGGGGGGATTCTCCCCCTCTGCTCTGCTCTGGTGAGACCCCCCCCTGCAGGGCTGTGTCCAGCTCTGGGGGCACCAACATCAGAAGGGCACGGACCTGCTCAAGCAGGTCCAGAGGAGGCCACAAAGATGATCAGGGGGCTGGAGCACCCCCCTGTGAGGACAGGCTGAGAGAGTTGGGGGGTTCAGCTGGAGAAGAGAAGGCTCTGGGGAGACCTTAGAGCAGCCTCCCAGTACTTAAAGGGGCTACAGGAAAGGGGGGAGGGACTCTTGATCAGGGGGTGTAGGGATAGGATGAGGAGTACCAGTTTTAAACTGAAGGAGAGAAGATTTAGATTAGATGTAAGGAAGAAATTCTCCCCTGTGAGGGGGATGAGACACTGGCACAGGCTGCCCGGAGAAGCTGTGGCTGCCTCCTCCCTGGAAGGGTTCCAGGCCAGGTTGGACGGGGCTTTGGGCAACCTGGGCGAGTGGAAGGTGGCCCATGGCAGGGGGGTGGAACTGGATGGTCTTTAAGGTCCTTTCCAATCTAAATCATTCTATGATTCTCTTCTATGATTGCATTCAGCTCAAGCACTATAGGCTGTTAAAACTGACCTGCAGTAAACTCAAGCTTTAAAAATTTGGACCAACAGTAGCATAACTTGTATAATGATTAATTAAATGGCTTCTCCAAGTCCTCAGGCAGGGCTTAAGCCTTCACCACTGTCGGTGGAAACTGAGCAGTTTTAGGACTATGCTGGATTATGTAACATGTCTGAATCTTGGAGTAAAAAGCTCTAGACTAGCTGTACATCTGTTCTGCACTTGGAACACCTTTTTTATAACAAAAATTACAGCTGGCAAGAGAACTTTGGAGAACCACCTGTATGTCCTTGCAGCTGTTATTCCCTCTGTGCAATTCTTTCAAAACGCAGCTCATGTTTTCTCTGGCTCTCTCAAATGCATTACCTCCTTCCGAAATTTCCCAGCCTTCCAGCATGCTTTCCTCTGACATGTTACAGTCTTCACAGATTTTCCTTTAGAGAGAAAACATTTTCTCTCAAGGTCAGTTTTGAGCTCAGTTCTGTTGACTTCACTAAAGATTGAATTAGGCTCTGTAAGAAATCCTGAAGACTGCTGGCCATTATTTAAACCAGTCATTTGCTTGAGTAAGGCCCTGCAGTATTTTTTTTTGTTCCACCAATAGTCATCATTCAAGCTAGTGGAATTACCCATACGCTCATAAATTTACTCAAAGCCTATTTATACCAGCCTGGAGTATGCCTGTGGTTGTGTTTAGCATTGCCTTTGGGCTTTAGCTGGGCTTGTCTATGATATTAACAGATAATGGTTTGTACCCAGTGCAGCTCCAGCAGACTGTATGTAGCAGTCAGCCTTTCCTTTCACCTGGATCAGAAGGTCAGGTCTGACAGATGAACTGTGGTATTTTAAACTTTAAGGAGTCAGAAGAGATTATTCTTCCCCAGTAGAAATGTCACTGCTGAAACCTGTCTATCTGGGCTTCCAGTCCCAGAACATAGTGTGGACTGATGTGAAAAGTGCTGCATTTTTCTTAATCTGTATTGAAATTACAAAGGAAATGAGATATGTAGCAGAGCAAGGAGAAAATAATATGGATGGCTGCAAAAGGCAGCCTTGGACTGTGTAGTCCTCACTTTATACTTAGTATACAGACATAGCCTTACCTGTACCCTTCACTGGTGTCTTTTAATGCAGATTTGGAAGTCCTAAGCTATTTCAGTATCTGTGATTGAAACTATCATTGTATTCACCTTGGCAATGAGCTTGTGTATGGTTTTGCATACACATAAATTAAACTTATCAGGAAGAAAGATTGCATAGGTTTTATTAGTTCCAAAGCATAATAAAAAGATACAGGTTACACAGTTCATATGAAAACTTCTTCCTTGTTGGGTTATTTGCTTTAAAAGTAGATATAAAATAATACTTAGACATATGAGAAAATGATCAGCAAATACTTCTTGATACCTAAGCCTTTGTACTTTTATTCCCCAGAGTTAACGGCTCTCCCTAAATACATATATGTATTACAGTAAACTTTCAAGGACTCAAGCATGATACCCATTGCACAGATAAGGGAATGAAGATGCAAAGAGATATATAGACTCAGAGTTAGAATCAAGAGACTTATCCTACTGTCAGAAAACTGTGAAATTTTTCATGGTTTCAGCAGGGCAACTATAAAAGGACTAGAAAGAGAATAGGCCATAATGAACTAAAAATGCCAAAAGTCTCTTTACTGAGTCCTCTGTTATTGTAAGTTAATGGTCAAAAAAAAAAAAAAAAAAAAAAAAAAGTGATGTGGAAGATCAGTCTAAATGATCCATACAGTTAAGAGCTGGAGGAGTTTACAAGGTGAAGTCGTATGATTTATAGAATAATTTGCTGGCAAAGTCAGAATGAAATGAAGGGTTCCTACTGCCTTGGGAAGAGCTCTGTCCATGAGTCTGAGCTATAATGCTTCACTCAAACTATTTATGAAGAGATGTTTTGTACAAACTATATAATGCGAGACTGCAGAATCATAGAGCAGGAGATAGTTTCCTTGTCAGGAGTTCAGTCCTAGGTCCCATTTCAGCAGCACTTCACCCAAAGGCTGTATTTCTGTTCTCTCCTATTTCCTTTTCCTATCCCAAGTACTTCTGTGGCTAAATGGAGCATAGGCCATGCGATTTCACATTCCTCCTCACTCTCTGCTCCTAAAACAAAAGCTGTCTGCCTTCAATTGTGTTTAGGCTCCAGAGAAAATCCCTCTGACCAGGGACTGTGTGGCTTTAAGCATTAGAAGATAGGAGGTGTTTGCAGTGTGTTCTCTACTAAGCTTAAAGTCCTCAAAACTGTGTGTCCCTGGCAGAAAGTTGAAGACATTTAGTCTCACCACCGCATGAGACCTTTACAACTGCAACACACAAATTAGGTGAGATATTCTTATTTAACCCTCCAGGACAAATGGCACTGTAGCCTGTTGAAAGCGCCATGCATTAAAGTATCCCCTATTTGCCCATGTGAGCTGGACTCCCCTCATGACAGTCAGCCTGGCCCTAAAGACAAACAGGCCAGCTGAGAAGGTCATCTGCACCACCCCGTGAGATGCGTCGTGTCTGGCGTCTCAGGCTTTAGCAAAAGGCAGAGAAACCCAAGAGCCACTGTCCCTGTGTGCAAACACTCCTGTCATCTCTGAGCCTTCTTCTGGACTCCTGCTGCTTCAGCTATCCACTCCAGAAAGAAGTTAACTGCTTTTTACAGTGAACTGATGAACTGCAGCAGCAGATGTACACATATTAATTGTTGGAAGTGTATATAAACCCAGTGTACAACAGCATACTGAATGCTATAAACCACTTCATGCATAAGACTTGAGATGGTTTAGACAGCTCTGCTCTCTGGGCCAGTCATTAATCCCCTGAAAGGTCTAAGATTTCTCTCATTGCAGCCTTTTTTTTTTTTTTTTTTTTTTCTAAATGCCATTGTACACCTGGACCTTTGTAGTTAATGTAAATAGAGAGGAAAACTATAGCATGCATATGCGGAAGGGCAGGTTGATTGTCTGCTCTGTTAACACAGCTCAGCCAGCCACTGGCTTTTTCTGGGCAGCAACAGTAATGAGAAAATTTACAGCAGCCAGAAACTCTTGTATGAAAATGGAAATTACATTACATAATGTGCTGGACTGAGAACACTTGAACTGGTATTATCACCTTTAAGAAAGGTACCATCTACTTTGCATAAAATTATACAGATATGGTACATGCCAAATACGTATAGGTGATAGTTACGTGATACCTTGCAGATCTGTGAACTGCAGGAGTGTAGCTTGTGCTCTAGACTACTGCCCTATTATACTGTCTTGTCTGAGAAAAGCTTCTGTTGTCAGAGTGTCTGTGTAAAACTGGCAGCCAGGTATTTTCTTCTCTTCCTACAAAACCATAATTCTTCCTGCTTTTTCATTCTTCCAGGTTTTCCAAAACCAAGAAGACCTGCATTCACCTAAGATAGTAACTTACACATGGTACGTTTAGCCACTGGACAGTGATGGATTTACCATTAATCACATAATTACTGATTAACTGTGTGAGACTAGATAAAGAAGATCCCTCTACTTGAAATGGGAAATTTCTATCTTATGGCTGAAAAATGCTTGATGTACTGAACTGTAGTTTCAGTTTGTTTTAAACAGAAAGCAACTGCTATGCAATATTTATAAAGCCTTCATGGCTCTCTTCATTTTACCTTGTATGGCTGGCCTTGTTGGGAACCAGGGAGGAATCTGGGGAAGGGTTCACATCATGTCTTTTAGGCACCTAATTTGCAGAGCTAATTGCTCCCTGGCAATTAGGCATCTGTCTCTGAAAGCTTTTGATTTGCACCTGGGTCAGCTGTTTAAAGTAGCTGCTTACCTGGTGAGAGCAAGGGGGAGTGTAAGGGGGATAGAAAACCTGACATAATCTCTGAAGCATTTGGCAAAACTATTTCTGAACAGATTGTGTGTGTAGAATACATGCCAGAAGAGTCTAGCAAGCAAAGGTTTACTGATTTTTTTTTATCTGTGGAGAGCTAAGAAAGTACCTAGTAGACTTACTCCCTGTGTAGTATATGTATCTCCCAACTTCATCCTGCTGATAATGTTAGCAATCATACCTATCCTACTTTGGTGTCATGAGTTTACAGCATATACAAACTCCATCTCCAGATCTTTCTAGGCTGCCTGAACAGTGGTGGTATACAGACAGATCAAGAAATAACCAAACAAGACTATTTCACTGAGTGTTACAAAATCTGTAAACCTCGGTCAAGTCTGTGTTGTAACGTTTTTGGGATAAGATTTTATGTTTGCTTCTGTTTTTGAAAAGTGCTCTGTCTGGGAACCAGAAGTTGTTCAGATCCCAGAGAGAATACCTAAAATCTCAGCCTGAAAGTTCAATCTGACTCAAATTCTAGTAATAATTAGTTTCTGCTGTAGGGAAGTTGATTTGGGGAAGATTTGGTTAGGGTGAAAATGTAACACAGTTATCCGTTTCAGTTTGAAGGGCACAGGGGAGACTTGCAAATACTCTGCAGAGCTGGAAGGAATGGGGGCAGGAAACTGCAGGCTATCTGGTATACACATGCTTAGTATCCAAACTGAACAGCATAAATATGGTTTCACATCACCCTCCACCTGTGAGTTAGCTGGGTCTCTGTCAAGTAAGAAATCTCTGTGATCCATCTTAGCTCTTAGATTTAATTTTTAAAAGATACTTAGTTATAATATTATCTATAGAAAAGTTGATCTTCCCTGGAATTGGATTTCAGGAGCTAAGATTTCAGTTCAGATGTTTGTACGATCTGATATGATAAACCTACAACTGAATATGGTTAATGTTTTTATTTTTCCCATGGTAAATACCATGACTAGGGCAGATTTACAAAGAGAAAAAATGGGTCCCCAGTATCCTTCCTATCTCTTCACATTCACACTGTGTCTTGCAAAGTGTCCGATTCAGGATCCGTGGGAACGGGGCAGTGCTGGGAACTCCACAGTCCTGTGACTTGATACAGCTGCTGGCGGGCCTGTGCTAATGCTATCTCTAGGGTGCTGGTCGGACCAGTATAGTGAAGCACCTTATTTTCAGATTAAACTTTGTGAAAGATGGAAGGGATTGGTGAAATTATCTAAGATCTTCCATCTAAGATAAAGGTAACTGAATTCAGAGGCTTCCTTTATAGTGACAACAAATTTATCTGCCAGTACACTGGTAACTTTTCACTCTCTGCTGACTTCACCTGGGAGCACTGTAACCAAAGTAAAGGATGGCTTTATAGCTATACAGAAAGTACAGACCTTGAGATTTTTTTTCCCCCTTGTGTCTTCCTTTCAAGCTATTTCCCTATCCCCTATTCTCTGCCCCAGCATTCATCACAGTAAAGCCACCCTTTACTACTAGCTCCTCTGAAAATTTGCTGATTATTTTTCCTACTTTTTTCTTGCTTGAACTAAGTTCATTCTTCTCCTTTCTCATCATTAACAGGTTCACCTGTGAACATATTATGTGTCTTGACTGTTGAAACCACTGATCTCTCCTGCTACTCAAGGTCTGCAGTGATCAGGAGGCCAGTTAGCAGTAGAATAAGGAAGTGCCTAATAGTTGTTTGCTTTTTTAACAGAGCCAGGATGTATATTTATACTATGAAAAACAACTACAATAGAGCACAGAAACTTCAAGAGACTTGACAGCATCTAAGTAAAGGCATAAACTACTTATCCTACTGATCTATCCCACTGGGTGCCTCTTTCCAGATCTTTTGTCTGTGTAGCCTGCACATCTTATTTTAGTGCAGCAGTTACAGTTTCTTCACTACCTGCATTTCAGCTGCCTGAGAGAGGGAGGAAACTGATTTATAACAACTTCAGATACCTTTCCCAGTGTGCTCAACTAAGACTGATGATCAAGACTCTCCTCTCTTGCTACCAAGCTCAGTAAATCCTGGGTGTCTACTAGCTCACCTTACATACCTTATGCCCACCCCTATTCTGTCAGGTTACAAGAAAAAATGTCCCATCATCAACTTTAGGGCTTTATTCCCTCTCCACCTACAGTCATGCCATGCTGCTATTGTAATCCCAAATAGAAAGGGAACCATGGCTGGCCAGACATGTTGATGACTGGAAAAGATAAGTTGCATTGTAATGATGCCAGTGTGTTAACTGGTGGAAGAGCACATGGAATAACACAGTAAATTCTTTAGCACTTGACATCGTTCAGTTGAGGCTGGATGTCTGCCTAAAAACTCTGCTAAAGTTTAATTACACATAACTGGCTTTGATAATGTTCACTTATGCAGCAGGCATAGCTATGTGCTTTGCAGGAATAACTTCTGCACTGCAGAAAATTCCTGGTGAAACTTTGCAGGCCTTTTTTTTATATACAGAAAGTCAAACCATCAAACCAGATGAATGTATTGGTATATCCTAGCCTTCAAATCTCTATGGCATGCAAAGATGCTGTAAAAAGGTAAGTAAAGTGGCTCTGTGGAACTAATGTCCCACCAGTGATCACTAGATCTGATTCACAAGTATTAAGCTAACAACACTGCGTATACACCCTGAGCCCATAAAATACTGCAAGTGCACAGATGTCTGGGTCAGAGCGTCCTCTGAGGCATCCCAGCACCATTCCAGATCTGCCCATGAAATATCTCACTAAACCTGAGCATGTTTTGGCCCACTATATTCAGTATAGACAACTACAGGCTGTAGAATTCAAAATCATGTGTAAACAAGGATACTGTTAAACCAAATAACCCTGTCCTGTAACAAAAATAGAACTAAAAAAGAATTCATTGCATTGGGAAGAAAGAGGAATTTAATGAGTATTTCTGTGGAAGAAGTGATAAGCATTTGGCAATAGATAATTGTATAAGAAGCCTCTGATTAGAAACATATTAATCATGTAAAGAAAGTTCCCCTTTTTTACCACTCACTCAGGACTTTACTTCCACAGCCATGTTTGGAGGGATTACGCACACCTACAAGCACAGCACAGCAGCCAGTGGATCTTATTCAATAAAAAATGAGCAAATCTTCACAGTTGCTTTATTTAGGTTAGCAGCAGAGAACAAAAAAAACCTCTAAAACTCTCTGTGAGTGACGATGAATCTTTGTGCTCACATGCAGAAGCAGGCCAGGCAGTAGTGATTCAAGGAAGGAGACAGAACTCTTAAAGAGTGATGACTGGATTTATCATTCTTCTACATGCCTGGGAGCTAGAAAAAATATACCTGTAACAGAAAGGTGATCCTACTTTGCCTTGCTAGTACTATCAAGAGGAGCAGAACAAAGGATGCTGAGCAAATGTGGCTGGTGGTATGGTTAGTTATTTGATTTCTTCTGTTTGGCTGCTATTGCATCCTCACAGTATCTGTTCTTCTATAGCTGAAGACTATAGGGTAATTGCTTTGCTATGTACAGGCATCACCTCTATTGCTCTTGTCTTCAATAACCACATCCAAAGCATGTCACTGAGTTCCAGACAGAGGGGAAATACTTTTGGCATGTAGCTACCTTATGGGAGAAGTTGGGCTTCTCTTTACACTCCCTGCTGGCCTGTGTTTCTGTTACTTCATGGTGACACAAAGAGCAAATTGGACCCAGGTGTAGCAGATTTGGCTGCTGTGTTGGCAAACATCTGTGGAAGTGTCAATAGTTTAACTCCAGCCGTCAACTGAGCCCCACACAGCTGCTCGCTCACTCTCCCCTGGTTGGGGGGGAGAATTGGAAAGGTAAAAGAGAAAACTTGTGGGCTGAGATAAAGACAGTTTAACAGGTACATGCAAGCAAAGCCAAACAAGGGATTCATTCCCCGCTTCCCACGGGCAGGCAGGGGCTCAGCCCTCCCCAGGACAGCCGGGCTCCATCACACCTCACGGGGACTTGGGCAGACAAACGCCATCGCTCCGAACGTCCCCCCTTGCTCCTCCTGCCCCAGCTTTATCTGCTGAGCATGACGCCCCCTGGGCTGGGATGTCCCTTGGGTCAGTCGGGGTCAGCTGTCCCGGCTGTGTCCCCTCTGAGCCCCTTGTGCCCCCCCAGCCCCTCGCTGCTGGGGTGGGCTCAGAGGCAGAAAAGGCCTCGACTCTGTGTAAGTGCTGCTCAGCAGCAACAAAAACATCCCGGTGTTACCAACACTGTTTCCAGCACAAGTCCAAA